GAAACACTACCAAAGACCCACGGACACACTCAAACCTGTGAAACACTGTTCACATTTAAAATGTGGAGCTACTCACAACCAAAATATAGTAATATGAGACATTGTTGATGAAGAAATATTGATTGGAGCAGCTTTAAACTACACAACAATAATGTGACACTGTCACCAAATAACTTGATGTTTACTGTGATTCATTACACATCCTTAGAAACCTTAGAAATTAATGAAAACAAATGTTTTTTACAGAAATACATCTAGAAATATATATTTTTAAATTATCTGTGAAAAATGGTCGGTATACACGATTGTAGGTGAGGAGCAAAAACTTGCAGGCACACTGTTGTGGTCCTTTAAAGTCTCTTAATCTGCGTTATAAACACCATAAATTGTCACATAATGGTTATATAATGTGAATTGTGGCAACAGTCTCCAAGCTCTCTGCCTGTTAAGTAATATTTTGGCAACTGGGTCATTTCCCCGTCCTACCAACCAGTGTTTGTACTACAGAGAGAAATACTGTAGGTCGTGAGTGAACCAGCAGGCCCCACCCTCTGGTCTGCACACACACACACACACACACACACACACACACACACACACACACACACAGTCACACACTCCACCGCCCATTTGGCCTCGGGCAGAGGCAGTGTTAAGTGTAATCACACACATAACACTTTCACCATGGAGACCAGTTGGGTACAGACCTGAAGGGAAGTCACATGTAGTTGTTTTTTCTTTGCTTATGAAGCGCTCGGCTCACTGAACGACACAATAGGTGAAAAATAACTCAGTTTATGTCTCACACGTTCTCCTTTAATGCAGATTATGATGAGTGTGTGCATGTGAGGTTTGGCCATAAAGCTCAAGCGTCTATGTTTGGTATTTCTGATTTGACAATCCAGTTTATGTAATTAAAATATGCAAAGGGTAAAACGCCCGGCTGGAATCTGATTTTGAAAGCCTTTTTCATATGTTATAACATTTTGTGCTGCTTTTCCAAACATTTCAGGGCAGCAGGTCCTTTTTTTTGGTCATTATTTAGTTTTTTAAACCGTTTTTAAGCCTGCAGACGCAGTGTGACATCTTGGCATAGTTGCTGCTCAGACATTTGGTGTCCATTACGGTGTTTAGTGTTTTCTGGTGCTCGCGTCACGTGGGAGGGAACAGTAGTGTGGTTTCCATGGTCACGTCTGGCGTGTTTTGGGTTCGGTGGTGGGGGGCTACTTATGACGAGTGTAATTTGCACACTGAATGAATAGTTATCCAGCATGGGGCGGCACTTCTATGACAGGCGCAGTTATGATCAGAAGTGGGGTAATTTTTGGGAACTTTGGCTGATTAGAGTGTTAATAATAGTAATATTTTTGTATCACCACAAAGTCAGAAATCCCTTTTCTCTAATTCCCACTTATATTGTGATGAAATACAGATGTGGCTACTTCACATGTTGCATGTAAAACATAGTTCCGCCCTCAACGCTCCATCACTTTGCTTGCTGTCCATTAAACAAATGGAGGAGGAGCCGGACATAAATATTTTCAAATATATATATATTTTTATCCCCATGAGGGAAATTTAGTATGAGCTATATTTAAAAATATATTTTGTAGGACTTGTCCTATGTTTTTATTACACCCTGCATGAACAATGAATGTCAATGAGAACTGTCCATTTAAAAAAAAAAAAAATCATAATAAAAGCTAAACCTAAAAAACATATTACAAATAAGTCAACTTAGGTTTATATCGGTGTGCAGAAATAAAATAATGTACAAAACCAATTAGTCCAAAATGTTCTTTTTTAATACCGTCGTAAAGTTTTGTGTTTAAAAAAGATTTCACATCATTAAAAGACAAGTAAGAAGACCCACGGCCCGCATGCGCGTCAATCTAAAATGTTTACATTTCCCATCTGTACTTGAAAGCCTCATCACGGTGCTCGCTGCCGTTTGATCTCAGTCGCGCGGCTCTGTTTGGTAACCTAATTGTTTTCACCGGCGACAACTCCATATATGGTGCAGAGATGACGCCATCGCCGCTGTGCACCGGGGAGAGGACGCGGAGGGAGGGAGGGCTGTGGTTGCGCGTTCGCGTCACGGCTTTTCCGCTGTGCGCGTCCCCAGGAGGAGGAGGAGGAGGTGGGGGGGGGTTACTACCGGATGGACCATATATGGAGTCCGAGCGTGCGAGTGAGTGACGTGGTGTGTTTGTGAGAAAGAGGGAGAGAAACTCCCGAGGAACTGGAGACACGTTTCCTTCTCCCACGCAGATCTCAAAGTGCTGCTGCAGCTTTTCAGCAGAATGTAAACAGTGACCGTCACGTTCTCACTCCTCACGTTCTCACTCGGTGACTGTAACACTGCAACACTTCCCCAAACACCGCGCAGTAAATCGAACCACTTCCATGTTATCGTGGAAGTCTATTTTAGGACAGAAATGTGACTTCGTTGTAGAATCTCTCACATAAAACTAGCTTTTAATAAAGAAAGTGTATTATCTTTAATAAACGGTACCTTACAATATATCATGCATTTTGCAGGTAATTAAATGTTTAAGACACTTGATTTACAGAATCTATTTCAGAAAATGGTGTTTATCATCTCGACATGTTGTCTTCTATAGAAAGCCGTTGTTTGTTTGACACACTGAGTCTGTGAATGTAACAGCTGTGTCTCTCCTGGAATAAAACATGCGCTATAAATGAGGTTTTGTCCGCTTGCTTGCGGCTAATAATCTTGATGTAAGCGTCGTTTCATGGTGCAAATTAAATAAGACATGCATAGTCATTTGTGTATAAAATAAGACGAATAACCGGAGAGTAACGCCAATAACAAGAACACAAACATCTCTCCTCATGTTGACAAAGCAAATAACGAAAAGAGGATGGAATTAAGGGGAGATAATAAAAATAAATATATTTGTATCTAATGGCTAGACATGTAGCGAGAAATGACTTGCAGTTGAAGCAGATGATCTAAATAATAAAAGAGATCAACTGTGGGAAAAACGGTAGACGGAACAGATGGTGTGTGTGTGTGTGTGTGTGTGCGCGCACGCGCTGCAGCTACAGCAGGTGTGGGCGGCGCCTGATTGTCACTTACTGAGGAATGAAGTCCGTGTTACGTCAAAGAGGAAATAAAACGCCACCCCTCTACTTCTACGCTCTCATTTCTCTGAGTACCAGAACCGGCGAAGAGCTGAAAAACAGATTAGAAACTAGAAACTGAACTCAGGACAGATACAGCTCGTCTGCTCGTTGAGCCTTTGGTGAAAGTGCCAAAACAACTGTGCGTAATTACGCATACAAAAATAAAGAAAGAACAATGAGTGCCACGACCGCTATGAAAGTGAACGCCGAAGCCAGACGGATCCTGGCCGTGTCGATAAGCAAGCTGTACGCCTCCAGGACCCAGAGAGGCGGACTGAGACTCCACCGGAGCCTTCTGCTCTCCATGGTCATGAGGTCCGCCCGGGACATCTACCACTCCTCCCGCGAGAGCGAGGAGCTGTGGGGCGCGCAGCCGACATCGGAGGAGCCGATGGAGACCGGCTCCTGCTCGGGGGAACAAACCGTGCTGCCGGAGCCTCAGCCCGAGCCCCAGCCGGCGATGATCTCCGCCGAGCCGCCCTCGGAGGAGCCGGACAGCGAGGACGAAGGGTGTGATGGGGAAACCGCGGAGGACAAAGAGAACATGAGCCCGACGAAGCAGTCCAGGAAACGCCGGGGCAAGGCGTCGGCGGCGCCCGACTTCCTCCCCAGCAAGAGGGCGAGGCTGGAGCCCGGCGAGGAGAGGCACGCGGCGCTGCCGGGCAGCTGTCGCGCCGGCGCCGGGGAGTCCCTGATCGCGTTGTCACTAAATCGGGTTATACCCGCTTTTTGAACAGACGGAGAAAGTGAGCCTCCAATTGGACTTTGGAGTGGAGTGATTCTGAACTCCTCGTAGACCTACAAGGGACGGGTTGACCCCCCCCACCGTTGGCACACCAAGGAGCTGACCTACACCGGCGGTCCCGGGACCGAGGGATTTACCGGGACCATGGTGCGAGATCTCTGGTCGATCTGAGTGGGCCTGCCGGGCTATAGGCGATGCCTCCTGCCCCCCCTCCGCTACAGAGCAGAGAAGAAAACATGCAGGCCCGAAGAGAGAGCTGCACGGGCCGGAAAGTTTGAGGAAGAAACCGAAGGGGGAAGTTGCTGTTTGATGATTCACCTTCCAAACAAGTGACTGTTGCTGACTCAAAAGTGTGTGCGCGTGTGAATCAGCAGAGAGTGATATGAGTCAAAACAAACACACACACACACACACACACACACACACACACGCACACAAACACAACGAGGACTTGAGGGAATTTCCTGCCTTCATACCGGGATATCAGGCCCGATAGAGGAAGTACAGTTGGGGCAGACTCACTGCCACACACGCACACACACGCACGCGCACACACACACACACACACACACACACGCATTCAGCTGCTGCTGTGGACTTGATGAATCAATACTACTGCTATAGGGGACATGTCCTGACCTGTGTTCACATGGTGCTTTGAGGCTGTCCACGTGGTGTCGGAAGTCATTTTGTGTGTTTTTATGTCAATCAAATGTTCAGACCTGTGAAAAATGATATTACCTCACATTCCAAGCTGCTTTTGTTTTTTTGAATTAAAGGTGTAAATATTTGTAATAAACACATTGTAAAGGGTACTCAGTTGTGCTGCTCTCTTTGTACACGCACACACACACACACACACACACACACACACACACACACACACACACCACAGTGGCATCTTATTTCCAAATTAAAAGGCTGTTGGTCTATATTAGGCCACAGTTCACAGGGTCAATCCTCTATAAGAGGGAGCAAGTTGGTACAACCCAGCGCCGTGTCTGGCTTGCCGCCACTAATCTCATGCTTATAGTGAGGCACGCACACACACACACACACATTCAAACAAACAACACACACACACTTTAGTCCGGGGTCGTACCGTTTCCTGTAGATTACGACAGAACTGTGACTCACATGCTTCCCTCCCAGCGTGACCTGACACTGATTCAGAGAGGGATAATAAAAACAGATGTTACGCAACCTCGCTGGGGGCCAAAACACTTTGTGTTGAGTAACGCAGCAGGTAGTGTTCATAGCCCGGGGGCCTCTTCGTCTTCGTCATCGTCATTAGAAGCAGCAGCTTCCTGACAGCTGACTTACTGGCAGGTGATGTTGATCCGGTTGTTCTGGTCGCTCTGGTTTTCATCCACATCCTGATCATTGTTCAGGTGAGACACAGTACAGACAAAAACACAGCTCTTCATCGACTTCTTTCAGATTAATGGAAAGAAAACATCCTAAATACATATTTACTTTGTGTATTTAAGTCTGTAGATTTCTTCTAAATTCCCCAAAAGTTACCATTAGATAATGCCTCATTTGCATATTTAAATATAACATTTCTGAAAACTTGTAATATGTGAGGAATTTAAGTTTAAACTATTCCTAAGTATGTTTAATAGCAAACCAAAAAGCATAGTCATTAGATGTATTGAACAATGAAGGAGATTAGATGAAGTGGTAGGAGAGTGAGGGTTTGCAGGATACGTCCAGATGAGCCAGCAGAGGCACCGGCATCAGGAAGGAAACAGGAAATGGTCACGTAAAGACACGCTGGCTTCAGAGGAGGCTGGCCCATCGGGTCAGAGGGCAAGGAGGAGTCCGAGGGAGGTCAGCCAATCACTGAGCTGATACGAGACAGGTTAAAGACATTAAAGACAGTGTTTCTCGAGAGAATCCTCAGACCTCGTGATTTTCATTGTACAGCTAACCGGATTTCGTCGGACTGTTGGGTGAAAACTCATTTGGTCTCTGCTCCTTGGAACATATTTCTATCGATAGTGTAATTCGGTTTGTAACTGTTTTGGCTTCTGTTAGATGTTAAATACTTTTGATTATAACTTGAACCAGCTGATTTTTGGCGCTGCTTTGTTGACGGAAGACGGAGCAGAGCGGTGGGGCGGCCTTCCATTGTCTGCGAGAGTCTGGACCCCAACAAATACAAAACATATTCATCTTAATGTGAGTAATGAAGTGGTGAAGTTTCATGGTGATATCGATGAGTTCATGTTTTGACCCTATTCACCTGTAGAGTCTTCTTCTAAATGTCTGTAATTTAACTAAACATCTCTTTAAAAGATGTTTTCTTTAAACATGAAGAACATTTATTTTTTATTCGACCAAACAATATTACCATAAATCAAATACGTTAAATTGTGTAATAGTGTGAAAGTCAATAAAACACGAGGCCTCCAGAGTATCTGAAACAATCACAAGACAAAGTCCACCTCTGAGCCAACGTGGACAACACGTCCTAAAGATGACATCACGTCCACTGCTGCTCATTAACAGAACGTCTCCATGGGAACTGAGCAAACGCTGTCAGCTGATGAGCCGTGATGACGGACAGTAAACGTTACATCACCGCCACCCTGGAGCTCTGTGGACACGCTCACAGGTCTGTCTTTTACTTTTACGTCTGCTGCTCTCGTCTGTTACCGTGAGTAACTGTAGAGACGTTGAGACGATAACGTGCTTCATCAGCTGCTTCTGTGGTTCCTTCTGTCTTATCAGTTCTGCCTCAACATGCCGTCATCTTCACTGTCAATCAATCTGCCGATTCATTTCCAATCAATCACTTTAATGAATCAGTTAAAGAACTGAAAATGATGTCAATCAAGAATTCCCAGAGCCCGAGATGATGCCTTCAAATGTCTTATTTTGTCCGACCATGAATCCAAAACCCAAAGATATTCAAATTACAACTATGTATATATATATATATTTTATATAAGACTGGAAGCAAATCTTCTAATTTGAGAAGCTGGAACCATTTTCCGTAATGTCTCTCACTATGTTTTAGAACTCATCAATAATCAACTAACTTGCTATATTCATACATTATCATTATCACAAATAAGAAAAACAATTCAGAAAAAATAAACAGAATCTTGACCCGGTGACCCCGGAGATGTTTTCTCTTTTCCAGGTCGGGAGCCGCTGACGTGAAGCGCGTCATGTTTTTGTTCTGGTGTTGTTTTCACACATCTGAGGCTCAGCAGCTGTTAATAATAACATCTCATATCCACGCAGCTTATGAACGTATACGCATAAACCCACGGATGAGAGTTTTATCATCGTGACCCTGATCTCACTGGCTTATCATAAAAAAATACAAAAACAAATCTGGGTCATGCATGTGTTTTCATTTATCAAACTTATATATAATGTAAATCCTCTTAAAGCAGCAATAATTATTCACCCAGAGAGGGTTTGAGGCTGTAACTCTGTTTATCATTCTGAAAAACGATGATTTAAGTAAAAGAAAATTGAAAACACGGTAATTTGTTTTGCTAATAAAGACAATGCCACTTATTAATGCAAATAGTTTCAGTGAAATGACATGTGAGGTGAGTTTTGGATGACAGAAATCTCTTTTTGTCATCATCCCTCTTAATGTTTAGACCACTCTGTGGGACGAAGAAGTAAAATCAATCTGCAGCATCGTCCTCGTTTGAACCGCACGCCGTTCTGTCTCAGAGGACGTCTGCATCGATCCCGTCCACGCCTCGGCTGCTCAGAGGAGACGAGTGTCTGAGAGCTGCGAGTTATCCACCGACGTCGGTACATAATGTTCCACGCAGCCACTCCGATGACAAAGCAACTCATCCTTGGACGGCACACGGGCTCAAATCACACAGAATTACCGGCCTTTTTTTATTTACCAATGTCCTACATGCTGAATAGACTTTGTATCTCAGAGACTTGAGGTTTGGATTCATTATTTTGTTAATCAATTTTCAGGCTTGTTCTATTAACGTCGTGCTTTAAAGAGGCTCTAATGGAGCCAGAGGTGCAAATCTTCCTTTCAAGAAAACTGATTGTTTTGTTCCTTTTATTTCAGCTTCACCAAGAAAATCTGATGTACCATGTTAAAAAAACAACAATCTCAAGGACCGATGAGTCTCTGTTCTGTGTTACCGTCTCTTTCTTTACACGTGGCCTGTGAATGGACTGCTATTATACAGTTATTACTGCTTTATAACACAGTTATTCTCCGTGTGTTATTTTGGCCTTTAAAGTGACAGTTCACCCCTAAATTAAACAACAACAACATATGTTTCTTCCTACTTGCAGTGACGACTATCAATCCAGATTGTTTTGCTGCGAGTTGCATAGTTTTGGAGATGTCTGCCTTCTCTCCAATAGAGTGGCACTTTATGGCACGTTATGGCGCTTTATGGCACTTTATGGCACTTGTGGTGCTCAAAGCGCCATAAAAAAACAATGTTTGAAAATGAAACTGCTCAGAAAAAGGTGTGTGGATTATCTTGAGTTGCTGGTCATGGTTTCTGGAGAGAGGCATCGCTGTGGAGTTGTTCTATTGTAACTTGTTTGTGCACAGATAAATGTTGGATTGTATTTTTAATTTTGGCGGGAAACTGTCCCTTTAAACGGTCAACAAAACTCTGTTTATATTATTTTTACATTTCATGTTTTGGGGTGTTTGAAGTTGTGGAAAATTGTGTATTTTTTCACTAAGATGTGTGAACTGTCGGGACTTTTTGGGGACTATTTTCAGCTGTGGATGAATCCACATTTGGTGCCGTGGTGAGTATTTATGTATATATGTGTGTGTGTGTGTGTGTGTGTTCACAGCAACAAAGGTTTTAATAGTTTTTGGACAACAATGGAGCTCTAAAGCACAGAGGGATTCACGTATATCACGCGTTTGGAAACACACACAATGCTTGATAGTAAGATCAGTTCATTGTTGGTGTTTGATGGGATTTGATGCATAGTGGGGGAAACAGTATTGTTTAACATTTCCAGCTGCACAAATGTGTTGGGGACACGGTTTCAGTGATGGATTCTCCGGAGCAATCCTGCACCATTATGGGCATATAGTATATATATATATGTGTGTGTGTGTGTGTGTGTGTGTGTGTGGCAACCTGATTAAGATGCAGAGTGCAGAGGCCAGACAGTCACGGTGACGTGGAGCTCGAACAGCTCAGAGCTAAAAAAAGACCAGCGCAGGAAACGTCTTCACACAGGATGCATGCATCGACCGGCGCGCGCCCGCCTGTGATGTGAGGCAGAGACACCGAGCGGCCAATCAGAGCGAGGCAGTCGTGTTGCGGATGCATATGTGTCATTGCGTGTGTCTCCATTATGATGAGTGTAAATCGATATTTTACTGGATTAAATAACACATAAATGTATATTACACATTTTTTTATATTAAAGGAATACTTTAATAACTAAAAGAGACAAAGCATGAATAATTTAAGATCAATTTAAATCTTAATATATTCATAAAATAATGATCTCCACAATAATGCAAACATTCAAACTAGAGTAAAATAATTTCAAATTGATGGCAAACACATAATCGTGAATCTTCCAGACATTTTAGCGTAAAGAGATATTAAATAAAAAGACTTTAATAATAACAGGTCCATCTTTGACTGTTTAACTTTCTCTACAGCGAAGGAAGTAACGACTGTTGGTGGAGGTATCACCCAATCATAATTGACATATTGGCAGTTGACTGACACGCATTTAAACAAGGAAAATAAAAGCTCTTTAAAAAACACAACATTAAATATGCTCAGGCTGAAATATATTCATCTGAGGGGAGTAAGAATTAAAAGCCCCTCTGATGCTCTGAAACAGTCATTTAATAAATACACAAACCATCCTCCGGTTCTGATCATTTGTATATGTAATAACCTTAAACATATGGACTATATTTGCTGTGGTTGTCATTATATGTATGTCCTTTGACTAAAGTACATAACATATGTTACATGTCTGTAATGACCTTAAGATATTTACAATGTATCAGTTAATAACTCCAAATACAAGAAGATCAGAGTGTTTCAGTGAGGACGTCATGCTCCGCTGTGATTCGCTTGGAGAGTCTGATTCTCTTGAAATGAAAAGAAATGAATGTGTTGTTTCTCTGTGTGTGTGTGTGTGTGTTTTTAATCATTTCGGTGATCACATGTCAGGAGGCTGTGAACACATGACCTCACGCCCTCTCACAGCGCCGACTCTCTGTGGCTAACAGAGACGTTTCATTACAGCAGAGGACTGACTGTGAATGTGAATGACGAAGAATGCCTGCATGTGTCCT